CGAAGCAAATGTGTGCTGGCCACGAAGAAGGTGGCCGCGACTCTTGCTGGGTAAGTGAAATCGTCTCGTATCTATCCCTAGTTCATACGTAGAAAACTGGCTGCGTGTATCGATTTTTCTGTCATTCATGTGCAACTAGTTAAACAGAGGGTTGCGTGTCACTCGTTCGTATACGAAATTCACGTGCTGTCCAACAACCACGACACGAATTTCGATAAATATCCGGCTGCTCGCATAGATGCGTACGCAGGTTGAATTAACAGGCAGAGATTGGGTCGAGTCTCCGCCACCGGACTGAATCGTTCGACCACAAAACAGCCAGAGGGACAGCGAAAAGGGGGAGCGGGAGGGATTGAAAACCGTCAAAAAATATGTTGACAAAATATTGCGGTCTGGTATGACGTAATTATCAGAACGGGTAACTGCGGGAAAAGTGGTACGCGCCGCTATTTCCAACTCGATACGTTTCATCGCGGATTTACGATTCTGTTCGCGGGTCATTTGACGGCCGCCTTCTACTTCGTTGGACAGGACCCTGTTATCGCGCCGCTTTACGTTTGGTCGGCCGTGTTTATGCAATGGATGATTATCGTATGCTAAGACGACGCATTAAAATTACTCGTGCGATACGTAATTGCTAAATATAATGATTAAAAGATTTTCTGTATTGGAGACACTGTGCCTATATCGAGGACATAGGTAAATGTTATCCTGACTTCATAGAATGAAATTGGGAAGAGAGAAATTTTGTATTTCCTGTAGGCATATGTAAATGTAATTGTATTTTCTCGTAGGCTGATAGTGGCGGACCTTTGATGATCGGAAGTCAAGCCGATGGTAACATAATGGTGGTGGGGGTGGTCTCATCAGGAGTGGGTTGCGCTCGACCACGACTTCCGGGTGTATACACTAGAGTCTCGGAATACATACCCTGGATCACGCAACACGTACTACGATGAAACGAAACTCGAAGCTTCATTCGCTTCACTTTCCACGGAACTGTCTGTATAGACTTCGAAACGCATTTTCTCTTCGTGTATTTAAAGAGAAAGAGCGAAGTACCGTAAGAAGATCGATCTTGTCAAATATGTAACGTATTCTTTTCGTTGAAGAAATTTCGAAGCTAAAAACCAATGCTTGAATTAGTCTTAATGGAGATTCTTAAATTATTAAAAACTTACTTTAAAAGATAGATGTAGAAAACTAATATAAAGTATAAGACGTGATTTGTAATACAAATTTCGTCGATTGCAACAAGACTATAGAATTATAGAATAAAGTTATTAATTAAATTTAGCGAAGCCATTATTGTAAGCATAAATAATTTATGAAATTCGTCTCTTTATCTAGTCAATACTTGTATTACAATTATATCAGATAAGATATTATATATTATAATCAAACTGCCACGAGAGTATTGTAATTTAATAATATAATTAACACGTAATTATATACAGAATTTACATTTTAATACGAATTAATACACCGAATACATCATAATATATGTCATAAATTATATTCTTCTTTGTTTCCTTGGTCTTTGAGGGTTCCACGATACTCTAGTGTCGTCTGTGATAGAAACAACTTGTAGGTTTGTTAGCTGAAGACCTTTTAGGGCACCCTGAATGGATGTAAAAATAGTCATTGAAAGAATATACACGCAAAATGTTCAAAAAATTTGGGACAGGTCATTTTGCTTTTTTTGGAGGATACTATACGTTGTTAAAGGTTGACCCTATCTTTTTAAAACATTCTGTATATTTTGACAAAAAAGATTTAATTTACGCGTTTCACCTACCATTCTGCCGGGTCCAATTCCCTGTACTCTCAACCTGACTGTTTTGATACCACTTTTAAGAATACGCTATGAAAATATAAAGCACGTTAAAAGAACATAAAAAGTTACAAAAATTTGAGTAAACATATCAAGAAATTTTTCTTACCGTTCCAAATGTAATTGCAGCTTGTTGCGCTGCAACGTTAGTACCCTTCTTTGTATTTTTAAAACCTTCCATTCCAGCCGAATGTAACATCTTTCCCATTCCTATAAAAATATCATTGATTACGATAGAATTATACAAATGATATCAATGAAACAATATTTCTATAATAAAACTTTCCTTTATAATCAGTAAGGGACATTATTGTGTTGTTAGGAGTTGACTTAATATTAATAATATGTAACTGATCGTATCTTATCCCATCGAAAAGCTTATACGGTGTAGAAGCATCAGGAAATAACGAGTTTCTGAAATGGACATTTTGTAAACATTATATTAGACTAATATGCATAGCTATATACAAGAAGATACAACATATTACACAAAGCTATGATATAAATGTGGTGTCCATGCAGTATGAAATTAAATATTTACAATTCACTTGCACTATTTATATTGGTTGTTATTTCTCCTTCCAGAATTACATGTTTCTCTGTTTCATCAGATCTTATTTTTTTATTTCCAATTCGAAATTCCCTCATAGTATTTGAGGTTATGTGAAAATCTCGAACATTAGTGAATTTCAAATACGGTAATACCGTAAATTTCCCATTAGGCAATATCGTACTTCTTGTTAAGGATCCTACTGCAAATTGCAAAGTGGACAGAATCATTTTTGTTTATGTATATACTCGCAATCCGAAACAAAACCAAACAACTGATAAACTCTCCCTATCAGAGTAGTACATGCTATGCTACTCCTTACACTTTGCAGCTTGTTTCAGCAAACTTAAAACCGAAATTATTTTGGAAAAACATTTATTCATATTTGGATATTAATTGAATATTTAACTTATGAATTGATAAGCTCTTCAAAGTTACCGATAGAGCAATAAGATAAACAGGTTTGTTTCCTCTGATAGAAATGGCGCTTACATTAGGTTCGATGTATTTTAAGTAAAATAATATACAACTTTAATTTTGAATACTACAGATACTAAAAAGGAAATTTGAAATTATTGAAATTCATATAGCCATTTGCTAATTGTTAAATATTTTTACATTTTCGATTACACCTGTTCCAAATTTATATCTTAAGACAAAATTTGAATTTTATAATTAGTAGCTGTTATGAAATTATTTTAACTGATTACTGCTTAACTATTAAATACGGTTGCTATAAAGCTATATTACTATAAAAAGCAAAATATCCAGACTGTCTAATTTTTATAAATTCAGTCGTAACATTTTCCTATACGCCTTCGACTAAATAACGGTTACTATTTCACATCAATATTGATTGAAAATCAATATTAGAGAAAAAAAATTTTAGCTATTCATATCATAATCCTACCGGAAATATTAAGCATCGTTATAGTGGCATTCTTTATTTTATTAGTAAGTATTATTAAACTCTTTACATATTTTTGTCGTTATAATGAATAACTGATAGAACTCTTAACTTATGCATCCACTCATTCAAACACGCGTGATGGACCATTCCGTAATTACGTACTCAGTACTCACAACTATGTCACATGATCCTTGACAACTTATAAGATTAATGTCATCGTACAATAGCTTACAAAATTTAGTTTCTAATTCCTCTTCAGGTCAAATGAAATTCTAGAGGGAGAACAAGAGAACTTGTCTTGCAATCAATCACTTTCTGATATAAAATTGTGTTATCTCTATACTGTAATGATAAACATAAGTTTCTTTTTTAAATTACTTCTATTTGTGGTGTATCAACACAAAAAGAAACATATCTTCTCAAACATTTCGAGCACTTAAAAAACCCTTATTACAGAATTCTTATATTTAAAACTCTGAATGATAAATTTGTATAGCACACACAATAAAACATCATACTATATAGTTCTTACAATTGTCTAATTCATTCTTCAAACATTATTCACGAATTCTCAATCTTATTGTGACTAATTTAGAAAGATAACGAATTATTCTTTTTCCTTACTCTTGTCTGAAATTACCTTTCTTAATCGACCGAATATTGATATATAACAGAAAAGATATATCATTTTTTTGAACCTTAGCTGTACTTATTTACGTCCAAAATTACTTATACTGTAAAAACTTGTTAAATTTAGGATTCTCGTATAACAAACGAACAGTTTATAAAACATTGAGTTGCAGCTTTATTTTAGATATCATTATTACTTTGATATCTTACGACTTTTAAGCACTTTCCTCATTACACGTAATCTTATCACATACAACTATGTATGACTAAATACAATCTGTAACTTATTACATCTATCCATACAAATAATTTCTTTTGTGATAAATCCTTACAAGGTATATCACAAATTGTTTGAAAATGCCATTAAACTTTTTTTGTTTGTTTCCTTGCAATACCGGTTGCAAATAAATACAGCCTACTAATAAAGAATGACATCAAGTGGCATTGATTTTCTTTCCCCGATCCTTCTGCTGGAGTAATAGTGGCTTATCTTGAGACCCGAGTCGCATAGTATCAAATGTAATGGCTTCAGGGTTCCAAGTAGAGCTACCGTTCGATTCATTCATATGATACAAATCGTTTACGTTTTTATTCAAATGCAGTAACGGTATATGTACTTATTATATTCTTGCCATGACGCTCTTTTATCATTTCCTCGCTCATTTCAGAGAAAAGTGCGGCATGAGCAGTAAATATATTCATAATGATCGTGTTATCCTCGACAAAAATAATTTTGTAATAAAAATTTTAAATCGTATATCATAAGAAATAATTCTTAATCATAATTCGAACAGAATCAAACGTTTTACATTCTCTTTTGTATCATATTTTCACATAAACGGTTTTTCTTTTTTTGTAATTTTTTTAACGAAATTTATTTAGAATTTTTGTCTACCTTCACAGTTTCTATAGGTCATGTACCAATTTTTACATTATTAAGTTGTTACCATGCATTAAGATTATTTATGATTTGTAAGACCAAGCACCTGTAGCATTGATTGTGGTGGAGGCAAGCTCGAACGCGTGTATGCGCGCGCAATACGAAAATTTCTCTCTTTTTTCCTCGAGAATTTTATTCGATCTTTTAATAAATTTAAAAATGATCATTTATCCCAATCGTTCACTACTACGATATGGTAACAGTCGGTTATATTTGTAAGTTAATAATTCATTTCAAGAATTTTTCTTGGTGCAACATTATATGTATAAGAAAAATACTTTATATTATTCGTTATTTAAGTCTGAACAGAAATGTAATGTTTTCAATTTTATATAATACTATCAGTAGTTAACATTTTTTTAAAGAAGTTGTATTTAAAAATTTGTTAATGTAACAGCCATGAAGTAGAAGTAGACCCATAAATAAAATTTTGTATGAACAAAAAATAAATGTTAGAAACCTTTCCCCCAGACAATGTTATTTAAACTACCTATAAACTATTTTCATTGCTAAAGTACTAGAACAAAAAAAAAAAAAGAAACAAGTATTTATGCACTGAGAGAAAATTTTTAAATATACACATATGTGTATATACATACATACATACACACATATATATATATATATACATATATATACATATATACATATATACATATATATATATACACACACATATATATATATATATTTTTCATTTACTTATCATAGTTAAATACAACAAAAATTAATTAGTTCATCCAGAACATATTTATCGCTGAAGAGTAGGGAATATCAGAAAAGTGAAATTTAAACAAATGCTATATACGACATGTAGTTTTTAATTTACAAAATTTCTCTGTATGATTTGCAGATCATATATATTTATATACTATGTACCTATATATCTATATATGGTAATATTAATAGCATTATCATACAACTTTATGCAAACACACACATATACGTGTAACATCCTCTAAATTTGCTTAAACAATACTATTTTATGTATAATACGAATTAAACATCGTATCTCAAATCCAACTTAGTTTAGAAAATGACTTTACTTACATGTATATCTTAAAATGTAGCACTCACCAATATCAAATATCGCATGGTTTCTCCTTGTTATTATAACAAGATTATTTAATTTTATTAAATGTTAAATAGTTAAAATTTATGTAATGATATCGATAAAAAACATATATAGAAATAATTTTTTAATTCCTTTATATAGGACTTATTTTAATGTAAATCAAAATTTTAACATACACATTATTACTGTATCAGTACCAAATAACATTTTTAGGAAACATCTTTATTAAAGAAATATTCATTAAGACCACTAAATATCAATGTATAAATGTTATTTTATTCGCTACATAAAATAGTATTGCCCAACATGCATTCACCTGTTACTCATAACAGAAGTTTCAATTCTTTTAAAATTGTATAACAGACAATCAGCGCGTTTCGGGCTTACCTCCTTTACAAGAATGTTATATTGTAAACTTGGCTTTAAAAAGTATATAATGTATATCCATCTTGATGGCAGCTGTGGTACATGTGGGAAACATCGCAGATCAAAGGATAGAATAGTCTGTATAACAGAATGTTTCTTAGTGAGATGTACAGAAAGCAGTTAACGAAGATGACTGGTAATTCAGTCCTGCATCTCTTCTGGTATTTCGTGAGGATTAAGTATTCCTGGTACTGCCATTTGCTGTAACCTTTTCTCTTCTTGTGCCAATCGTAATGCAGTTTCTCTCTCTTCGAGATACAGATCTGAGTCGTCTTCGCCGGTGTATTCCTTTAGAAAACAATTTATTTATCGAATTATATATTTGTACTCAATCATTGTATGAATATAAACAAGGAATCATAAACAGGAAATATCATGCATAAAACGCCAACTCTGCATAAAATACTCACTCTAATTTCAACGAGGAAATCTCTAAGATGTTCTTTAAACGCTGGAATATCTTGATTAAGATTAAATAAACCTTGTACAGTTATTTTAATCTGATTATCAGTTAAATGTGGAAATGCTGTTTTAAGCAATCTTGCAACAAATTCTTGAACATATAATGTGTTATCTGGTACAGGTCCCAATGGAACTTTGATTCGCCCAAGTTCAACCAATGAAAACATGTATGCCAGAATTGTAGCATGCATATTAAGGCCTAAATGATTATAACAAAAACGAAATTAATTATATTAAAATAAACTTTAATAATCATATTGGTATTATTTGTATGTACATACCTGCTATGTGTGATGTATCTGTAACTACACTGAATATATGTTGCAGAATATCTGTAAAGTATGTCTGATAGAAGTTTTGAGCATCGGGAGCAGAAATTTCAATATTTTGTAAAAGTTGATACAATATTTGTAACCCTATATCTGCAACATTCCTCATTGTATGCTTAAAAGCCCAGATTATAGAATCAAGTACAAGCTTAAATTGTGCTGGTGGAATTATAAGAAATGCAGAGAAACAAGAAACATTCACTTCCTAAAATATAAAAATGCTCAAACTGTAATATTTAAATTACATAACAAAACGATTTGTAAGTAATGAATATTACATATAGTTACCTGTAAAAGTAAAAAGAAATTCGTTCTATGTTCCGGAAATTCTTCAAAATCCTTATTTATCATTTCTAAAGTACATTCAAACACAGCATCAAATATTTTGGGTATTTCGCTAGTAATATAACATTCCAATTTATTTACGATAGTAGCTATAGCACTTAACACCTCCGGTTCTCGAGCACAATGAACATTTGTTTTTTGATAATCCAATAAGACGGCATCCAATAAAGGTGGTAAAAAGCTATCTAAGACCTGATCGTGATATATACAATAAATTAAATTGTTTTGATAATACTAACAATCTTTAGAAGATATAACCATTAGATTAATAAAATTCTACCATTTGACGATCAGTTGTTCTGCTGACCCATTCTGAGATCAATTTTAATGTTTCCTTTTTCACTACTCTCATACTTTTAATTAAAGATTGTTCCATTACTACCTCTCCATTCAAAGCTATTGCAGCACTTATATTCTCACTCATAACCTGAAAAAGATGGTTAAAGGTTAATATATATACATTTAAGTGTTCAATAAATTATTAAACAGCATTAATATACCTTATAAACGTTCAACATATCTAAATATATTCTTCCTAACTGTATCACGTATGGATGACCAAGTGCTTTACAAGCCCTTACATTTGTTTTCAAAATACTAGTAAGTTGTTTGATAGCTTCTTGATCTTTTAATACATCTACATTCTTAAATAAAATATTTTTATTAAGTTAAGCAAGAATTAATTAGAAGAACATTAAGTTATAAAGTGTTCCTGATTTTTTAATATTTACTTTAGATGCTTGACTTATTATGTCATCCCACACTTGATTTGGTAAAAGCATATACCGTTCTATTAACTCTTCTTGCATCACTGTGTCTGTCTGTGCAAATATCATATATCCAACTGCTTCATAAAATGTATGTACCTATATTATAGCATGAGCATGTAAATAAAAAGAAAGTTGTATTCAACATACATATCATCAATAAATATGTTAAAAATTTTTGCATGTAACATATATAACATAACTATTTCGTACGTTTTCAGTGATTTTACCTGCTGTGTTTGAAGATCACAAATGATACTACTAATAGTAGAAAGGATTTCTTCAATAAATGGTACCAATTCTCCTGTTTGTGGTGTGACAAAATGTCGCCTACATTTCAATGCTATTTTTATAAATGTATCACAGGCCATATCTTGTACACCATCATGAGTTTCTGTAAGAATATTTAAATTACTTAATATATTTTTGCATTGAATCTATAATGTTGTGGAATCGTTATACGATGTAGTTCCCTTACCATGCATAAATTCAAACAGTTTATTTACAACAGTCTTTAAAAACTTCCAATGCGCTCTGAGAAATCTTGGATATTGCCCAACTACATACATAATATTACTAGCAATAATAGCTTTATTATCTTTTCCTTTCTTTTGTTCACAAAGACCTAGAAGATCTTTGATAACAGTTACTAAAAATCGTTTTTCATCTTCTTCGTGCATTGCACCGGAAATGCTGCCTATTGCCCAGCATAACTAATAAAAAGATTGAAATTGTTAGTAAACCATGGTATTTTTATTATGAATGCTATAATAACATCTTAAGCATATGTTTACCGCATTGAGATTTTTCCAAGACCATTCTGTTCCATTTACTTGGTTTTGTAGCTTCTCTGTCATTATTCTTTCAGTATCCATATAGTCAAGATGAGTAAGATACACAAGAGTTTCTCTCATATTTTTATATAAATTAATAGAATCAGTATCTTTCATAAACTCCCTAACAACTTCCCCATTCTCATTTTCTACAACAAGAACTTCTTCGGGTTTAGCCATTCTGCTGATCATGATATATCGTACTTTAGTTAAAACCGGGCAATAGAATAATCTCCTAGACGGGAGAGTCATATTTTTAACCATAAATAACGGCGTTGGGGGTGCAAAAGGATTTGCTCTATATAAATCCATTGCTAATGCATTCCAATATTCCAAACAGATCTTAAATATTTCAACTTCTTCAACCTCAGAAATTAAAACAAGGTAGTGCAATGCTTTGAGTAGTAAATCATTTAATTGCTTTTTTTCTATAAATTGCCCATGTTCTTTTAGGTATGTGCAAAGGAATATAGCTAAATTCTGAATAAAATTTTGTTCTTGATCTCCACCAGCTCCATACGCTTCGCGTATATTTGTTTCAAGGGGTAGAATCTGTTCTAACTGTCGCATTATATTAACAAACAACATTACGAATGATTCTTCATAGGTTGGTGCTGTAACACCAGCGATTTCAGTCAAGCATTTTAGTGTAATGTTTCTGAATATTGGTACATTTAAGAACTGTAAAGAAAATAATAAAAATATTATAATATTACATAACAAAAATTAATAAAAATTATGTTATATTTACCTTGAATACTAAAGTATTGATTAATTTTGTTTCAAAAATATATCCCAAAGGAATCCAATTTAAAAACCTTAAAAGAGTTTCTAATGTAACTGCCACCAATTGAACATTTTGTGAATTATCCAATACAAACTGACAGAGATGAAAAATATGTGAGAATTCATTACACATTGTATCTTTCAAATGTTTTGCTTTTGTTTGCGTCATTTGTCCACTTGAAAAGTCAAATACTTCTTCCGATAATAATTTTAAAATTGCCATATTGTTTTGACAAAGACTTTCATTTGTTTTACTTGCACCAACAATGTCACCAATGAAGGATTCCCAATTTTTTGGCCATTCACGTTTTAAAACCTGCAATAGATGTGGTTTATTAAAATGAAATTTAAATAGTTTCTATATTCTTGCAACTTTAATTACTTACCTGAACTAAAATCATATTAAGTTTATTAAGATAAACTTTTGAAGCCTCCATTGTTTCTGGATCACTGCTTGTCTTTATAATAAGACCTACTATGTATTTTTTTATACCTTCACACTGATTTCGTGGTAATACTTTCCATCGTGTCTTTATAACTTGTTCCAGTATTTGTAGAGCATAATACTTTGTTTGTTGGTTCTGTACACATATAATTATACATAAATTAAATAACTCTCTACACACTTTTAAGAAATATTATTTTTAATTAAAGAAATCCTTGCCTGTGAATATTCTAGAATAGTATCTACACGGGTCCATGCGTTTGGATGTTCTTTAAGTGTAGTCAATACTTCTTGTGCAACTCTCTGTTGCTCACCTATCCCAGTGTACATACAACCTACTATGTTATCAAGAAGTGTTATATCTAGCTTTTGATTGAAATCCAAAAGCTTAGATGCTTGTTCTGCTAATGTTGCCATTGTTTATTGTAAATTATCCAATTTTCATACACTCTATCTGAAAATAATTAAATTTGATATATTTATTTGACTCATTAAAACTAGATATATACTGCATCAATAAAACACAAATATTACAAAACATCATGTTTCCAAAAAGGGGCTATCTTATTCCACAAATTAATGAATAGTTAAAAAAGCATAACTTAGTACAAAGTGAAAAAATAATTCTAGTATTAAGTTTAAAAGTATATTTAACAACATAAACAATATTAACATTTACTGTTAATAGACAATGTACATGAAAAGACAGTGTGTTTCTCTTTTTAATATTTCATTATCTTTAGCAAAATGCTTGTCATATGTTGTTAAAATTTTACAGGCAGGAGTATTAGAATCCTATAGAAGATTGTATTATTAAGTACTATTGTTTTGCTTCTATGTGAAAACCAATTATTTCTATTTATAAACAAGTCAAGTGTATTGAAAGAATAGAACGTAATGTAAATAATCAAACTAAACAGAAGCAATAATAAAAAGGAAATCATTGTTAACGTGTAGCGAGGGAGGTCACCGCACTGCGACCGCTCGACCTAACCTACATTTGACAATCGCAAATAAGGTTATGTGAAAATTTATTGTGCGTAATGTTTGAAAATTTAGTGTAAAATGTATTTCATTTAATACATTCAATCAAGCGGAAATAAATAGTAATAGAGATGTAAAATATTAATAACAGATCATTGGAATTTGTAGATTTTTGTTATCCGGGTGCACTTTACTCATTGCGTCGTTGTTCAACGAATAAAGTTATCATAAACGACGTTTGCACATACCGTATCAACTCCCACACATAGATTCTCAATTCGTAGGTAAAAAACACACGTTTCACACGAGTAATCACAATCTCTCGCAGTAAATCACAATCAGAAAAAGGCCAAACACACAACCGCTGATTCCCGCGCGCGACCAATTTCGTTCCTCGTTTCACAGACTCGCTGTTCCTCACCGTCTCTTTCTCTCTCTATCTTTCGCACGTTCTCTCGCTCGTCACTCCTGCCTCTGCTCCGTTTGCGACGATCGCCAGTGAAGAGAGCTCCACTCATAAATGTACGATACCCACCGAGGCCGTTCTTCGTCGTAACTATGTTTCTTAAATCTCATACAGAATTTCTTCGTTTTCCCCCCACATTCAATGAGAAATGTGTAAAATGGCAGCTTTACGTTGTCCTTAAATCCAACCTACAGATTTTCGAAAATAATAACAAAATGGCTGAACACGTTACGCGGACCATTGCAGAGAAACGAACATTTTCATTGGTCCCAACGATCTGTTTTGTCCAATCAGAAAAACTCTAGCGACTGTTTCTAAACGTCACAAATTACGTCACGTGATGTCATGCAACACGTGTTCTCCATTTTGACTTAAAATTTGGTATGAATAACGTTTCATATGAATGGTTAATGCGCATCTACATTTTGCTTCTTAGCTAAAGTTGTCAATCCATGTTGACGTTTATGTATTTTCGATTTTTTGATATTCATAACGCATTATTAATGCAATAAGGACGGTGACATTGTATTGAATGTTTATTTACCACGAAATGTGAAGTCTTAGATGAAGAATCTCTGCGATTACTATCCTATTCGCAAGCATATGACAGTTTGTGGTTTATTGTCTTATTGTGAAGTGTCTATCAAAATTTCAATATTCTAATCACCTGAGTAACATTTGTAATATTAGAGTGATCAAAGTTTGAAATTATTCAAAACAGGCATATTAATGTAATTGATTAGATATGTCTTGTCAAATAAAGGGAATTGCAAATCTAACCAATACAAGCAATATTAAAGAATTACTTTTTGGAGATTCTACTAGAAGACGTAAGTTACTGTATTCTTTTGTTTTGTCTCGTAAAGGAATGGTAAATGTCAGTGTCAACATTTTTTAGATGACATTCCACAAGATGAATTACCACTACAAGACTGTTTTATATCATTATCATCAACTGGAGATGTTCTTGCTATGGCGAATAATACAAAGATGATTATATTAATTTGTATGTCTCGTATTATTGAATTTTAAATAGTATATTTCTACTATGTAATATATATAACTTGTTTAAAAATGGCAGTATATTGAACCTAGAATATTTAATTATTTATAATTAATATAATAATTTCATATTAGCAAGGTGGGATTCATTAGAACCAGATGAAGCAAAAAATAAATTTCATATGATATGGTATGGTGAAGTTGCAAAAAAAGATAAGTAAGTCTTTATTATAATAATGTTATGTTAATTTTTGTATCTTTTTACTATGATAAATTTCTTTGAAAATATGTCCATATATTGAAAGTGTTTTTTAGTGAATGGATAACATCTGTAATCTGTTTACCATTATTGTCATTGGGAAAAGCTAGCAGTGGCACTAATCCAGATTGGACATGTATTATAGTTGGTTTTAATACTGGTTTTATCAAGTTTTACACAGAAGTAAGTCAAGTTTAACTACATGTGTGATAATCATTTAGAAAATGTAATCCTTACAGTTAAACTAAATTATAATAGAGATGAATATAAAGTTATTTATTTTATATTTAGACAGGTGCATTATTATTTGGGGAACAATTGCATAATGAACCAGTTGTGGGATTAAAATGTCAATCTTTTCGTTCACCTAAACACGTAGGTGATATTGGTTTGGCTGAAGAAGTTCATGTGACATATAATAGTGTTGTGTGTGTCTTGCAAGGTTTTCCCTTGTTTTCCACATTAAGAGCATGTAGGAATTATTTAGCTAGAGGTATAGAAATCAAAATTATGTTATTATTCTATTGAAATTTAATATTTATAATAATATGTTTTTTTTTTTTACTTAAAGTTCAAGCAAACTGTGATGACCTACCACCTATTACAAATTTATCATATAAGAAATGGGGTTATAAAAGCCAAGATATTGTAAATGATTCAGAAGTAATTGGTACTACTTCTGTAAATAGCTTTGATCATCTAATGACAGCTTCAATTTGTGGTGGATATAACGCATCTTATAGATCTAGTGCACCACAGCATAATTTAGTTCTTGTGACTGGTAAACGTCCATTTGTTGGTTTTCATTATGCCTTAGAAGGTGGTTCAGCTCCAGTTCTATCAGATGTTGCAATAGCAATGGCCAGCAAACTAGCAAATGCTATTGGAACTGCTGTTCCGTAAGTGTTGCATAATAAATTCATGTTATGCATTTATTGTCAAAAGGATATATCATCTGCAAGAAGAGATATAGTTAAACTACATTACTTGAATGTCACATACAATGTTTTAATAATTGAAATTTTAGTTGTTAACCATGTCATTATAAATATAGAGAGTTTTGCAATTATATATCATTTCTTTACTATTCTTTCTGTTTAGTTGGCTTCCTATCAATTGGGGAAATTCAAAACATCAGGCATCGCTCGAAGCATCAAAAACTAGTACTCATGAACCAGTTGAACCAATGACTTGTAGGTTTGGCTTAAGTGATGTTATGAGAGAGGGTTATTCGATAATATCCAGTCCAAATAAAGCACTGTCAGTAATATTAGATGCAATGGGCAGAGTATTATTAGTAGATAACAGATATTGCATAGCTACAAGAATGTGGAAAGGTTATAGAGATGCACAATGTGGTTGGATTGAAGTGGAGGAAGAAAAACATTCTGGAATGCACAAAGGATTTACTAAGTTTAAACAGACTCCACAATTGCGTTCTGCTTTCTTTTTAGTTATTTATGCTCCGAAAAAAGGTGTAATAGACATATGGAGTACTCAACAAGGTCCTAAAATTACTACATTTACTGCTAGTAAACATGGACGGTGAGTAACTCTCCTTTTTAGACATTTCTATTGGCAACTGATGTAATATTATTGGTTTAAGTGAGTGTTATTGTATAGATTACTTTATATCAATTATGGTCTTCTTGGTGTAAATGATAATGTACATCTATCAAAAAATAAACCACAATATTCGTGTGTATTTATGGATCCACTTGGAGGTTTGAAGGAAATTACAGTACCATTTCATTTTGCTCTTAATAGTAAAAATGGGAAGAGAGCACGTGATATACATATACTTAAAAAATTGAAAACATTTTTACGAGAAGAAGATTTTGAATATGAGAAATTAATATCAGAAATTGAGAGTGTGTGTTCAGATTTGAAGAGTAATGAAATAAAAGTACAAACATTGGAAATGTTAATGTCAAATAAAAATATTATTCCTGATGCTTTACTCGCAGCTACAAATTGTTTTATCAAAAAACTAGATGAATATGGTACGTACATATTTATTATTAATACATAGTTCTATACAAGGTTTTATTCCGCCAAACTGTTATTTGAAATAATAAACACAATAATTTTTATATTACAGAAAAAGAAGAAATGGAACCTACAACAAAAACACTTTATTTATTAACAACACAGTTGCAGCAAATAATTAATTTTTATAAGCATATTAAATCTCAGTTTGATACACCAGAGTATAATGTTTCTATAGATGATAATAATACAAGTTTACCTTTGACTTTGTTAACTACTGAGAAAGAAGTGCACAGAATTTTCGAATTGTTTAATAAAGTAAATAGTTACACGTGTTCAGATTCTAGCACAGAATGTAGAGTAAAATTTAAAGAGGATGGAAGAATATTTTTAGATTTTTTATCTTGTTTCGAGTTTGGAACATCAGGATTTATAGATATTAAAAAAGACATAAAACCAGAAAAAGAACATCAGATTTGTAAGTATTTTAGTATGTAATTTTAGGAATATATATTTTATTAATATATTATTTATTAATAATTAGGCTTTTTCTTTTAGCTCAATTAATGTATAAAGGCTGCGTATATTCGTATGATAGAATTGAGACATGGAAAGAAGTCGCTAAAAGTAGTAACATTCAACCATTCGTTTTCATGAAATTTGCTTTAATATACTGGCTCAATAAGAAACGGGACGTATCTTTAGAACTAGAACTAAAACAATTTACGCAGCTCTTAAATGCTATTTGCTCAATAGCCAGTAAGTTCGGAGAATATATATCGTTAATAAGTCTAAATTCTTGTTGTCATAAAATAAACCTTATTTCTATACCTATATAGGTGTTAAAGAGATATGTGCAGAATATAATGAAATATCTTTATGGTGGAAAAAGGTTCGTAATATTCTTTTGGATTCAACAAATCCATTTAATGCACTTACTGCTGCTTTGATGTGCAGAGCTGTTGCAATGTCTGTAGAAAAGTATAGAGAAAAGTGCAATAAAAAAACTGAGGATAATAATGTTCAAGAAGAAAAAGGTATCAAAAATAAGAATGATATGAAAGAGATAAAGCAGCATCAAGATTCTGTTAACAATTTAAAATCAGACGATGAACTGTATAACTTGACAAATGAATGGGAAGATATTACTAAAGATACTTGTCAATTTACGTTGCTTATTGGAAATCTTGAGGATATTGCGATTTTAGATGCTATTGTAAGGTAATTAGTAATAAAATTTGTTTGTAAGTATCATAATGCTTATAAGATTTTAATTTCAGCCAAGAACCTCCATCAGATACTACAACGCAATTTTTTGCACTACCATTTGTAAAATTTGATATATCTTTAGGATCTGTTCTCTCAAAAGGGAAAGGTATTATACCGTTGTAGTTACATGTTATAATACTATCAAAGAACGTATTTTTTATCTTATATCATTATAATTAGGTTCTGTATCGGAGATAGTTGCAAAATGGATTACTTCTACGGGTATTGATCCTTCTCAATTAGTAGATACAACAGATACGGAATTCGATCACGCACGTCCAACAAATGATTCTTTAGAAGTACTGAATTCTTCAGACGAAATTTGTAACGTCGATGATGTTTCACAATCTAATGTAGAAAAGCCTCTTTCAGAATCTCTTGATACAGAAAGTGAAGAGAAAGATAGTACAAATGCTAATATATGTATTTTAGGTAAAGAAAAATAGCATCTTTATATTAACATTTTTTAATGGTCTTCTAGATTGTATTATGCATTTTTCTTTTTGATTTTCAGAAAGAATTAAATTATTAAAAGGCCATTTTCCATACAGTTTGACAACTAGTGTTCTGCTAGCTAATATCTGTTGGGAATTTGCTATGTCGTGGAATAAAGATATTTCGCAATTGAAGTCGCTCGAAGCTGCATTATGTGTTTTACGACAAATACCAATGAAACGTATGAGGCATGGTGAGAGAAGATT